GCCATGGCCACCCCTGGTCCCCCAACTAGCTCCACCCCTTGCCTCATGGCAACAACTAACTCCTTAATAAAGTTCTAAACTACTAATAATATCTGCTTTGAGTTTCTCTCATCTGTGGAACGTCATTAGATCTATAGATCAGTGGTGTCCAGATTCAGTCCTAATGGCTGCTATCCGCCATGATGGATGAAAAACAGCAGCAGAGGATTAAAAAGCTGAGCTGAACCAAAAGGAACAAGGAACTAACAGCTTCCTGGAAGAGGAGGAAAGTTAGAAGTGCTCAAAAAAGTACTTAATTACAGGAAAGATATTTAAAAAACAAACAAACTACTTAATTACAGTAATAAAGTACAGTAATAATAATGTACATTGTTACTTTCCACCAGTGAGACTGAAGTACTGCAATCAGCACAGTTAAATGCAGACTTTTGTGTTTCACTGCTGCGTTAAACGCTGAGCTGTAAGCAGTGAGTTACAGCTTTGATATTGAAAGTAAAGAAGCAGAACAGGCATGCTGAGGTCACACTTTAAATAGACTAAGGTAATGCTATTTACAGAGAATCCTGAACAAGGAAGCAGCTGAGTGGTTCATAATTTATTCACAGGTGGATAGAAAAAAAATAACAGGATCAAATTCCATAACTGAAGTCTCTGTGAGGCGTTCACTGTCACCATGGACCCAGCTGGTTTTGTTCAGTAATAGTGACGAAAAGAGAAGTGGAAAAATAAAACTTTGGACTTTGAACTTGGAAACATTTGCTGCCTGATGCTAAAAGATTCATGCGCAGATAATTAAATCTCAAACAAGCTTCATTTTTAGATTATCTAAATGACAAAAGAATAAACAGTAAGGTTAATTGAATCGGTAAGACTAATTTCCGAGGTTATTGAACGCAGCATGAGGAAGACGTTCCGGTAGAGCGCGCGGGGAATTTCCCCGCAGCGCAGCAGGAAGTGAACACCTGCGTCAGACTGTAGGAACCTTGTTTTCTGCGTGTTTAGCTGCTGGTGTGACCGAATGGCTCCGGCTGAGCGCTCATCATGAGCTCCTTCCCTGCGCTGCTGCTCCTGCTGGGGGCCGCGGGCTGCGCCGCTGTGGGCATTCTGTCTGAGGGGGCCCTCACCTGCTCCCGACAGGTAAGAGCCACACGAGGGGCCCTGAGCTGTTCCCACTTATCTCAGCTCTTTCCTTTTATCAAACTATTTATTTTTTAGAATAAAAAGTCAGGTTTAATCAAACTGTTAGAATTTAAACCCGCGGCTCCTCTTTCTCCATTAATCAAGTTTTTAGACTTTTTCTGCGTCTAGAACCTGGAAGCTGCTGCTGACATAGGCGGTTCTAGCCAGGGGCCAACAGGGGCCAGCGCCCCTAGAGGACAGGCCCTGGTCAGGGGAGGATTTAGGAAATTTGGGGCCCTAGGCAAAGACAGGCAGGGGGCCCTCTGAACTGAGAAGAC